ATACACCACTATCAATATATACACCACTACCAATATATATACCACTACCAATATATATACCACTACAATATATACACCACTACCAACATATACACCACTACAATATATACACCACTACCAATCTATACATCACTACAATATATACACCACTACAATATATACACCATGCCCAATCTATACATCACTACAATATATACACCACTCAAGTATAATATATACACCGGGTCCAATAAATACACCATGTTCAATATATACACCAAGTCCACTATATACACCAAGTTCACTGTATACACCATGCCAATATATACACCACTACCAATATATACACCGCTACCAATATATACACCATTCAAGTATAATATATACACCAAGTCCAATAAATACACCATGTTCAATATATACACCAAGTCCACTATATACACCATGTCCAATATATACACCATGCCCAATATATATACCACTACCAATGAATACACCACTATCAATATATACACCACTACAATATATACACCACTACCAATATATATACCACTACCAATATATATACCACTACAATATATACACCACTACCAACATATACACCACTACAATATATACACCACTACCAATCTATACATCACTACAATATATACATCAGTACAATATATACACCACTACCAATATATACATCACTACAATATATACATCACTACAATATATACCACTACACCAAGTCCACTATATACACCAAGTTCACTGTATACACCATACCAATATATACACCACTACCAATATATACACCGCTACCAATATATACACCGCTACCAATATATACACCACTCAAGCATAATATATACACCAAGTCCAATAAATACACTGTGTTCAATATATACACCACGTTCACTATATACACCACGTCCACTATATACACTATGTTCAATATATACACCATGCCCAATATATACACCACTACCAATATATACACCACTACAATATATACACCACTACCAATATATACATCACTACAATATATACACCACTACAATATATACACAACTACAATATACACACCACTACAATATACACACCACTACAATATAAACACCACTACCAATATATACACCACTACAATATATACATCACTACAATATATACACCACTACCAATATATACATCACTACCAATATATATATATCACTACAATATATACACCACTACCAATATATACATCAATACCAAAACATAAATCACTACAATATATACACCACTACCAATACATACATCACTACAATATATACACCACTACCATACATACATCACTACAAATATATACACCACTACAATATATACACCACTGCAATATATACACCACTACAATATATACATCACTGCAATATATACATCACTACCAATACATACATCACTACAATATAT